CAGGCTCCCTGCAGAGCAGAGAGCCCGATGTGGGACTCGATCCCAGGACCCTGGGATCATGACCTGAGCCGAAGGCAGAGGCTTTAACCCACTGAGCCACCCAGGCGCCCGCATATCAGGTATTTTAAACATAAATTAATTAATATAGATGTTTGAAGGATGAAAGAGCAACAGGTTGCTTTGGTAACCCAGAGATTATGAATTGCTGGAAGCTGCAACCACCCTTAGGGCTGGAGGAACAATTGAGAGAAGTGGTGTTAAGAACCGTCCATTGGATGGAAGAGCCCTGTCAATATCACCTAACCAGCTGACACTGTAGGAGTATCCTAACTGTTGATGGGGGAGTGGTGAAACTACTGCACAGAATGCCTGAAGAAGCTCTGGGGTCTCTTATTGGAAGAACCTAACACGAAGCCAGCTCTTGAGGGAGTCTAGGAAATGTAATTTCAGATTTATATCTCCAGGATCTCAGAGCAGATTATGGGAGGCTTAAACCTTAAAGCTCAGAAACAGTATGTAAATAACTAGCATAAGGATGTTCATGGCTTTGTTGTTAAGATGAAAAAAAAAAATCCAAAACATTTAAATGCTCATCAGGTTAGACTGGTTAGAGTAGTTGTGGTATAGCTATTCACTAAAGAGCCATATGGCCATTAAAATTGACACAGGAGGTTCTCTCCAGCACTGTTGGTGAAAAAAATGTTTCCAAATACTTTGTATTTTGTGTCCTCATTTACTTAATATATGTATGCATGTAAGGGAAATTTTAGACATATATTTACTAAAATATTAACAGTAATTATTTTAGGGTAGTGGAATTTTGAGTGTTTTCTTCAGTAGTTTTTAAACATGTTTTTCAATACTGTTTGCGTTTTCTGCATGTGTATGATTATCATCAGGGGAAGAAAACCTTGAATTGGAAAATCAATTTAGCAAGGGAATAAAGTATTTCTTTTAATAGGAACTTAGTAGTAGAAAAGCAATCAGAAAATAGTTGTTTTATTTACATTTCACTAACCTCTCAGACTCTGCCTCGTATTTTAGAATTCTTGAAAGTGTTTTTTCTTCTTTGTTTATTGTTCTGGTTTATTTCTGTTTTTCTGTTTAAATGAGTATGCAAAACATTGGATGAGCTTAAAATTTCTCATTCTGTCTTTAAAAATTCCAACCCAAATTGCTTTTTACATGTGTGTGACCTGTAATTTTCTCTTGATTATGGAGAAAAGGGATTATGGATGTTTGAATTGGCAAGTCTGATCTATGAGAAGACACATCTTATCTAGGGAGTTTAGTTACTGAAGTCACTAGAAGTTAATAATTTTTCATTTCACAAAGCCACAAACCGTAGACTAAAAGGGTTGTTTGATGAGACTCTACTTCTTATACATTTTATTACTGAAATTTTCAAACATAGAAGTAGCTAGAATATTATAATGAACTCCCATGCATCCAATAACTAGCTTATGTATGAATAACTTAAACAGCTGCTTTTGATTAATTTCTAATTTATGTACTCCCCATTCTCCTTATGTTTGAAAGCAAATGACGGACTATATATATCGTTTCATCTGTAACATCTAAGTATCTCTAAAGATAAGAACTCCTTAAAAAAAAGCTTAATGCCTTTATCACATAGTTAACATCAGTTGTTTAATGTTAATAATATCTAATTTTCTCAAAAATGTAATTTTTAAAGTTTTTTTTAAAATCAGGATCCACATTGTTATTTGTTGATAAATCTCTTAAAGTGCTTTGTTTCCTGTAGACTCCCCCTTCAATTCTCTTTTTCTCTTTGTATTCGATAAAGAAGCTGGGTTTCTCTTGCAGAGTTTCATATAGACTGGTTTTTGCTAATTGTATGCCTTTGGCATATTTTAATGGGTTCCTTATATTTTCTGTAAAGTGATAGTTCAATGCAGAGGCCTGGTTGGATTCCAGTTCAACTTTTTTGTTGTTATAGAACCACTTTATGGTGGTGTGTTTTTCTGTCAGGAGGCACATGATATCTGGTTACTTCTCTTTTTATGATGTTAGTAACTGATGAGACTTAGTAATTAATGGTGATATTCTGTCATTTCTTCACTACTAGCCAAATACTTTTAGAAAGAGGAACTTCTTATCTATTTTCTGGTTCCCCAGTGTTGCATCTGTTTAGGAAAGTCAGATTAAATGCTGTTGTTTTTTGTGTGTTATAGAACAGTGTTTAAAATAGTGAGTTTACTAGCATCCTCCAATGTGTCCAAATAACTTATTGTCTTTTTAAAATATCATGCTCAGATTTATTTGAATACATACACTTACCATTTCTGTTGGTCTTCATTTTTTTTATGAGACTGACGCGCTGCCTACTGCGCTAAGGAGGCACCTAGTCTTTATTTTTTTAGATATCCATATTTTCATCTGGTATCATTTTCTTCTTGATAACTTTAATATTTCTTATTGTATAGTTCTGCTTTTAAGTACTTAACTTAGTTTTTCTTTGTCTGAAAAAAAAATCTTTATTTTTGCCTTCATTCTTGAGAGACATTTTTTCCTCAGAATAGAATTGTAGGTTGATAGTTATTCTCATTTCTTACCTAAAAGATGTCACTCCATTATTTTCTGGACTGGATAGATTTTGATGAAGTGTTCCTCTGTATGTAGTATTTCTCTGTATGTAATGTGTATTTTTTTTTTCAGACAGTGTTTAAGATTTTTTTTTCTTTACCACTGTTTTTACCAAATTGATAATGGTATATCTTGGAATGGTTTACTTTATGTTTCTTCTGCTTGAGGCTTGTTGAGATTTTGGGGACTGTGGGTCTATTTCCATCAGATTTGGAAAAATTGTGGCTATAATTTCTTCAAATTTGTTTTCTGTTCTCCCTTCCTTACCTCTTTGTTTTCTGGGACTCTGGTTGCATGTATTTTTGACTACTTAATAATGCTTTACAGGTCACTAATGCCCTGTTCTTATTTTTCCCCTTGTCTCTTGTTTTGTTCTGTTTTATTTTACATAGTTTCTATTGCTGTGTATTCAAGTTCACTGATTTTTTCTTCTGTAACATATAATCTACTTTTGATTCTATTAGTATGTATTTCATTGCAGGCTTTGTATTTTTCATATTTAGTACCATTTAGGTCTTTTTAATGTATTTCATTTCTGTTCTCATCATATTCATGTTTTCTTCTTGGGCATGTGGAGCATATTCATAAGGGCGGTTTTAATGTCCTTGTTAATTTTGTCACCTGTAACACTTCTGGGCCTATTTCTGTTGATGAATTTTTTTTCCTGGTTATGTATTACAAGGTCTTTCTACTGTGGCTGATGGAAATGTGAATCACTAGCAGCCTTGCATGTGTCAGGGAATTTTTTGGCTTACTTTCCAGTGTTCTTTTCCTGGTCACAGGTAGTTTTTTTCTCATGCATGGCACTGATCATTATTCAGCCAGTGACTTGGGACACCCCTCTGTGGATATGCAGAATTCAGGCTCTCTTGCTGTCTTTGTAGCTCCCTCCTCTGTGGAACTCTGCCCTAGAAATTACAGCTCCCTCAATTTCCATCTCGGTCTCTCTCAACTCTGTGCAACCACCAGGCTCTAATTGGGTTACTTTGCCTTACATGGCAGTCTGGAGCTTTGCATGCAGTAAGTGGGAATAGATGTAAGGCTCTTCTCGTGTGTTTCCCATCTTTTAGGGATTATAGTCATGTGCTACCTGTTGCCCAGTGTCTAAAACCTTTCATATATTTGTCTGTTTCCTGCTTGCTTAAGTTAGGAGAGGATGTCCCATCTCAGATAAACTGTCATCATGTGAAGCAGAAGTCTTAGTATAGTTTCAATTCATATATATTTTTTTTATAAATGAGTGAAAGTAAACATCTTTTCACACATCATAGGGTAATTTGCGTATCTACTTTTTGAAGAGCTTTCTATTTTTTTATGACCAACCCATTTGTCCCTGATATTGCTGGTCATTCTGTATTTGTAGAAAGAATTTATGTTAGGGATATTAACCCTTTCTTTGTGAAATGAAATGCAGAATTTCCCCTCAGTTTGTCACTTGTCTTTTTATTATTCTTTGCTGCTGGTGTCTTACTCTAATGAATTAATTATATATCTGAATTCTTAGTACTGAAACACTGGGTTGGTTATTGGGCAAGAAGTGGATTCAGAAGTTGCTTACACTGTAAGATGTTTGAATAAATAGTTGAGCCAAGAGATCCTGCTGTATTCAGTATTCATTCTAAGTTTTTGTGTAGTATAATGATACCATACCTACATGTTCTTCCAGGTAGTTACATGACTTACTCCTTACTTCCCTCAGAACTCTGCTCAAGTGTTACTTTATCTGAAAGGTCTTCTGTAATCACCTTCTTTCAAATTGTAAAACACACCACTCCCTACTCCCTGTTCTGTCCTCTTATTTTTTTTTTTAAATTCCACAGCAGTTACCATAATTTGACATAACACATATTTTGCTAATTTATATATTATAATTTGTTTTGTCCCTAATATGCTGGTAGCATGAAGGCAAGCATTTGGGACTTTTAATAGTGCCTGATAACATAATAAACACTTAATTTGTATAGGTTTTATAATCAGATTTCCCTTTATGTAGGTTGTGCTGGTATGAAGTGAAAGGTGAATCAGAGAAGGAAGAGACTTGAGAAACAGTTTAGGTCCCATTATAGTGGTCTTAGTGTAAGGTGGCAGTAGCTTAGCTGGAGTGATAGCAGTGAGAATGAAAAAGGCTAATAGGATTGACATTAAGAAGAAATGGGTTTCCCTGCATGTTTTCTTTTAGAATTGTTAAGTAAAAAGAAGGGGGGGGAACCTTGTATTTGGATGATATTTTTAATGTAGCCATTTATGAAGCAAAATTAGAGACAATTGAAAATGAGTTCAGGTAGATGTTTTTGTTCTTAAAAGACATTACCTAAAAAAATACGAATGGTAAAGTATCTAATAGAGTCTTGCTGATTTTTCTGGTTTATTGTTTTTCTCTATATTTTTTTTAGAGCTTTGCTTCCTGTTTTACATCACAAATCTAAAAAAGGACCCCCCCGCCAAGCCAAATACGCCATTCATTGTATCCATGCGATATTTTCTAGTAAAGAGACCCAGTTTGCACAGATATTTGAGGTAAAAAGAAAAAAAAATTGTTTCATAATTTGTGGTTAAAAAACACATATTAATGATTTATAGAATGTTCACATTTGGAGATGGATCATTTTACAATATGTTTTCAGAATTTGAATCAATATAATCAATTTTGATGAGTGGTTAAAATATAACAATATCTGATTTTTCAGACATTTAGTACTAACAAGTACAGAAATCAAACAATTATATAATATTTTTTGACATTATACATTTAGGATTAGGAAACTATTTTTTGGTAATAACTAATTACATAAAAATTGTATGTATTGATAGTAGATGATTCTGTAAGTTAAAAGATGATTCTGTCAGTTTACAGGTTTGAAAATTAAAGTTCTGTTTATAAGATACTGCTGAAGTATGTGGAACTTTGTCAATACTAATTGGTATAGTATAGGACAAATAATTGGTATGTAAAACGCAAATAAATTTATACTTACATAACCACTGACCTGATTTTATATCAGATGGATGATATTTAAATACATATTTCATATTATGTTTTCTACCCTTTAAATTACTATTATGCTTTTTAAGCATTGCATTTTTTAATCTATTGTAATCTGGAGCTATCTTTAGTATTCTTATTAGATATTTAGCATTGTTACATAAAATCCAAGCTTAAATTTTTAGTTCAGTAGCCTTGAGTGAATTGAAAACAGTTTGGAAATTATGCTGAAGCTACTGTTTTAGAACATTTATGCTAACTTTTCCATATTTTCATGTATTATGCTAAAGACCTGAACAAGGAAGAAAAGTAGTTGTCTTTATCATAGATCATCTTGCTGTATGTAGCAAATAATTTATTTTAAATTTTGTGCATTGTGGGATGGAGATATTTTTTGTGGTCTGTTTTTGTATATCAGAATGACTTTAATGAATTCATGTTGATTTAGAAAGCTTTTGTTTTTCTTGATTAATCTTCTTTCAGTTCCTTTCAGTGGTGATAAGGAGTAGGATAATGCTGATAGTAACTTGAATTTGTAGGGTACTTTTATTTTCATTTTGATATTACATATCTGATATTTTATCTTTACCATAAACTAATCTGTAACTCTTTGCTATAATATATAGGTTTGCTAGCTTTCTGAGAAAAGATTTTATAGATCTGTCTGGCCTTCATGAGATTACTATTAATCCAGGGTCTGACTATTAATACTGCTTTTCCAGAAATGACTTTATTACCTTATTGTGTAAAATTATCACGCTCACTATTGAAAAAAACTACATGGTCATATTTTTATTCATAATCTAAACAAGCTGGCATTTAGGTGTACCATGGAATATTGAGGGAAGTCATCAAGAATAGCAAGAAGCAAACTCATTTAAATATGCTTTTGACTAAATGAAGCCTCACATTACCCTAAGATGTTGGGGAAGAACAATTTAGTATTGTTTTTCAAGCCTAGAATTCTTGGTGTTTGGTATGGGAGGACAGCATAAACTCTATTAAAAGTGTCACTAAAATTTTTGATAATATATTTACTTGCTCCCAAATGAAAATGTACAAAATAAATCCAAATAGTAAAATAGTAAGTTTTCTCCTCCACCTCAGCCCTGTATCCCTAGCCACCCTGTTCTCATTCCCAGAGGTAATCTGTTAACCAGTTTCTAATATACTTTTCTGGACAGTATTTATTCACATATAAGTAATATAATACACATATGTATGTGTGTACACAGACACACACACACACACACTCACACACTTACATTTTGTCCCCTTCCCTCTTTGCTTATGCCAGTGATAATATACTATAGTCACTCTTCTGACTTCTCTATTTTAAAAATTTAATATTTCATTTTAGATATTATTCTATATGGGTATATGAAGAGTCTCATTCTTTTGTCATGGCAAAATGTGTATTAATGATAGGGTTTTCTATCAGAAAAATAAAAATTGCGTTAGTTATGGTACGTAATATTTGATGCTACAAAAATCCACAAGAATGCATGTGACTCTGTATAAAAAAAGCTTATTTCTGGCTCCCGAGAAAAGTCCCTTGGGTGTTTGGATTGCATTCTTTATTTTTTATAAACATATATTTTTATCCCCAGCGGTATAGTTTGGATTGCATTCTAATCAGTGGTTTAGGCACATAGACTCTTTTTTGACAATTGGCTTCTCTTTAAGTCCCACTGGATCCTTTGGTATTAAGCCTGCCAGTGAGTAAAGAGAACACAGAGAAGATACACTTCTCATACTTGCCTCAGTGTAGGCATGCGGACCTCACTTGTACTGACAGTCTGTTAACCAGAGCTTATTCACATATTCTCATCTAGCTGCAGAGGACGCTGTGTGTATGTATAGGCGTCCTTTTGCCCAGGAAGTGGAACAAAAGTGGTTATTGGTGAGCCTTAGCAATTTCCCATGTTCATGTATGTAGTCATAAAATATACATGGTTCTCCATGCTGAAGTTTTTTTTTTTTATCTACTGCTAAGATACGACTTGGGCAAAAACTGACAGTATTTGAATGTGATGCCTTTTAAACATAAGTAACCTATAGGAGTTTAAATGTAAGCTTAAGCTACTACTTCCACCATGTATACGTCTTGAAACTTTTGTAATTTTTTTTTAGTATTTGAACATGAAATACGTGAATAGTTTATTTGCATATTCACAGAGTTGAATGTGTTTTCCTTTTCTCATTTTCAGCCTCTGCATAAGAGCCTAGATCCAAGCAACCTGGAACATCTCATAACACCGTTGGTTACTATTGGGCATATTGCTCTCCTTGCACCTGATCAATTTGCTGCTCCTTTGAAGTCCTTGGTAGCTACTTTCATTGTGAAAGATCTTCTCATGAATGATCGGGTAATTGATATTATTTAGACTTGTGTTCTTCACAGTGTTATCTTCTAAAATTTTTTATTCAACAAAGAGAGAAGTGAAATGATGGAAATAACACTTCCATTTACCTGCCTTCTTTTAGGTTTTCCTGTCTTTTTTTAACATGCTGTTACCTCCATTAGAACTAAAACAACATTGAAACATCTCTATAGTTGAGCATAGGCATGTAACCTGCAGTGCATTCCTTGATAAATACAAAGTATCATTTGGTTCTTTTTCATCTTTACAGTAGGTTAACTTTTATAATGACATCTATTTTAAAAAACGTGAAGACTGACAAACTAGTTCACAGTATGGTTGTCATGACAATAGTTGTTTCTTTCCCTTCATATAGTAGAGAATTAGAAGGGATTGGGAGAAAACATTAGGAAAGAAATAGTGATTTTGTCTGTCTTCCGTTTGTCTTTGGGGCACTGCTTGTTTGGATGTGGGAGAACTGACGCCTTACAGTCACGTGGGGTGGTATGTATGTGTGTGCATATTTATGTGTATTCACACAAACCCACACACATAAATGTGCATGTGCAGACACATATATAACTATCAGTTTTGTGTCTATAGTGTGCTAGCACTGTACTGAGTTCTTTGGAGAATTAAAAGAAGTATAAGATAAAGTTTCTCCTTCTAAAATACAGTTATAATTCTTGCAGTATATATCTGTATTACTACATGTTTCATATCTGTTCTTATATTAATTTATTTTAATACTATTAATACTTTTAAACAAATTTGTTATGGAACATAGGTTATGGGGATAATAGTCGAGATAATTGTATGTATTAGATCTCTAATGATTTGTGGCTGTTTAACATTAGTTGACTAGGGCCCTGTAATTTAAGACACGTAGCTCCTGTGTTAATTACCTTCGTCTGTGGCTGTGGCTATGTTCTTTAGCTGTGTCTCTCACTTTTCTTCCCCTAAGTACAGTATTTCATGTTCTTTAGGTCATGTATGCTAATCATGTATTTAAAATTTTCTAGATCTTTACTGTGTTTTGTTTTCTTTAATGAAAAAATTTTGTTGAGATAAAATGTATCAGAAAAATATACACTTTTTAAGGCTATGGTTCATTGACTTACCACAAAGTTAAGATTTTTGACCAACTGACAGTTGGTCAGATTACCAGCCCCCAAAGCCCCTGTGTCTTTTTCTTGTTATTATCCCTTCCATTCTCCCATTTTTATTTATTTTTTAATATTTTGTTTATTTATTTATATTTAATTATATATTATATTTATATATAAATATACATGGTCATGTATACAAAATATGTATATTTATATAAATGTATATTTATTTATATATTTTATATATGATAAATATATTTATAAATAAATTTATAAATATATCATATATATTATAAATTTATTTATGATAAATATACGATGAATATATATTTATTATATTTATGATAAATATAAATATATATTTATAATATAAATATATACTTAATATATGATAAATATATAATATATATAATATTACTTATATTTTATTTATTTATTTATTTATTCCCAGTTTATTCTCCATTGTGAGGTAAATCCATCCTGTTGTTTATAGCAGTAGTGGCTGCTATACTTTTGTTGCTGTATAGTATTCCATTGTTCATATATATACCATGAATCTGTTCTGTTGCTAGACATTTAGGTTATTTCCAATGTTAAATGCCTGCTGTTGTTAACAAATACTCTCTTATATGTCATTTTGTGCGTTAATATATACATTTCTGTTGTAGTGTAATTGTTGTATCTTAGAGTCTGTTAAGTTGTTTTATTTTTCTTTTAAAGATTTATTTATTTATTTTAGAGAGAGAGGGTGTACGCCCAGGCATGAGTTAGGGAAGGGGGAGGAGGGGAAGGAGATGATGAGAATCTCAAGCAGACTCCCTGCTGATTGAGAAGCCCAATACAGGGCTTGATCTCACAACCATGAGATCATGACCTGAGTCAATACCGAGAGTCAGACACTCAACCAATTAAGCTACCCAGGCACTCCTGTATGAGTTGTTTTAGTAAATTTTGCCAAATTGCTTTTCTTTCTTTTCTTCTCCCTCCCTCCCTCCCTTTTTCTTTTCTTTTCTCTTTTCTTTTCTTTTCTTCTCTTCTCTTCTCTTCTCTTCTCTTTTCTTTTCTTCTCTTTTCTTTTCTTTTCCTGCCAAATTATTTTTCAAAGTGATTATACCAGTTAACATTCTTATATGTGCTGAATGAGAGTTCTAGTTGTACCATTCCCTTGAGTGTACTAGATATGCCAGTCTTTAACTTTTTAGCTATTATGTGGATGTGTAATGAATAGTATGCCCTTAGGCACTTTCTCATATATGTATTGATATTTTGGCTATCCTCTTTTGTTAACTGTCTGCTCAAGCCTCTTCCACATTTTTCTTTTAAATTATCAGTCTCTCTTTTATTCCTCATAAGAGTCCCTTATGTATCCTGTTGGCAGTATGTTTAGCAGATACCTTTTCCCACTTTGTAATTTGCTCTCTCACTCTTTTAGTGGCGTTTTTTGATGAACAGAAGTTCTTAATTTGGGCTCCTGGGTGGCTCAGTCGGTTAAATGATCTGCCTTCAGCTCAGGTCATGATCTCAGGGTCCTGGGATCGAGTTCTGTATTGGGCTCCCTCCTCAACAGGGAGCCTGCTTTTCCCTCTCCCTCTGCCCCTTCCATTCCCTGCTATGTGCTCTCTCTCAAATAAATAAAATCTTTTAAAAAAATTTACAAAAGGAAATTCTTAGTTTTAACAAAGCCCATTATTTTCTTTTTAGTTAGTACGAACCTTCTCTTTTTTACCTACCCCGAGGTTGTGATAATCCCTATATTATTTTCTAGAAGTATGGTAATACACAAGCCTCTAACCACATGTAGCTATTTAAATTTGAACTAAATATAACTGGAAATGTATTCACACATTTCAAGTGCTCACTAGCCACATATTGCTAGTGTTGGACAGCTCAGAACATTCCCACCATCTTGAAGTTCTGTTAGACAGTGTTGCTCTAGAAGCTTTGTTTATTTACTTTCACATTTAGCTGTATAATCTATTTAGGATTTATTTTTGTATGTGGTATATGGTAAATGTCAGGATTCATTATTTTATTTCCATCTTACCCCACCATTTATTGAAAAGACTGTCTTCCCTGCTGCAATTTTTTAAAAAATTGAGGTGAAATTCACATAACATAAAATTAATCATTTTAAAGTATACAATTTAGTCACATTTTAGTACATTCACAGTTTTTGTGACCACCACCTCTATCTAGTTCCAGATCATTTTCATTAAGCAGTTATACCTCATTTCCGCCAGGCTGGGCAACCACTAGTCTCCTGTCTGTCTTAATGGATTTAACTATTCTGAATATTTCTTATAAATGGAATCATGCAATTCCATTATGACTTTCTGTGTCACTCTTCTGTCACTTACGTAATATTTTTGAGGTTCATCCACATTGTACCATGTATCAGTATTTCATTCCATTTTATGGCTGAATAATATTCTATTGTACATATTTATCACAATTTGTTTATCCATTCATTCACCGATCAACATTTGGGTTGTTTCCACCTTATGAATATTGTGAAAAGTGCTGCTATGAATTTTGTGTTTGAGTTTTTGTTTGAATACCTGTGTTTAGTTCTTTAGGTATAATCCTCGGTATAAATCTTTGCTGGATTATATGGTAATTTTATGTTTAACTTTTTGAGGAACTGACAGATTGTTCCACAGAGGCTATACCATTTTACCTTCCTACCAGCAGTGTATGAAAGTTCTAATTTCTCCTCATCCTCGCCAATTTATTTTCTGTTAATTTGATTATAGCTGTTCTAGCGAGCATGAAATGATATCTCATTGTGGTTTTGATTTGCATTTCTCTAATGATGCTGAGCATTCTTTGAAGTACTTATTAGCAATTTTTATATCTTTTTGGAGCAAAGACTATACAAGTCCTTTGCTCATTTTTTACGGTTGTATTTTTGTTGAGTGGTAATAGTTCTTTATGTATTCTGGATACAAGTCTCTTGTCAGATACATGGTTTGCATATATTTTCTTCCATTCTGTAGGTTGTTTTTTAAGTTGTCTTTTAATCTTTTTTATTGAGATATAATTGACATATAACATTTTAAAAAATATTTTATTCATTTACTTGTCGCAGAGAGAGAGAGAGTGCACAAGCAGGGGAAACAGCAGGCAGAGGGGGAAGCAGGCTCCCCACAGAGCAAGGAGCCCCATGTGGGACTCAATCCTAGGATCCTGGGATCACCACCCAAGCTGAAGGCAGATGCCTGACTGACTGAGCCATAACGTTATATTAGTTTGATGTGTATAATATAATGATTCATTATTTTATATATTGTGAAGCGATCACAATAACTATCCATCCCCACACAGTTATAAATTTTTTTTTTCCTGTGGAAAATCTAATTTAAGGATTTACTGTCTTGGCAACTTACCAATACGCAATGACTGTAGTCACCATGCTATACATTACATTCCATGACTTTTTATTTTATGACTGGAATTTTGTACCTTTGTCCCTATTCAGCCATCTTGCCCACCTACCCCTGCCTCTGGCACCTACCAGTCTATTCCATGTATCTTTGATACTGGTCAGTCTGATAGGTGTGAGGTTATAGCTCATTGTGGTTTTGATTTGCATTTCATTGACGATTAGTGATGTTGAGCGTCTTCTCATGTGCCTGTAGGCCATCTCTATGTCTTCTTTGGAAAAATTGTTTATTCAAGCCCTCTGCCCATTATTTATTTTTTTAAACATTTTTTAAAACAGATTTTATTTATTTGAGAGAGAGTGAGAAAGAAAGTGAAAGAGGGGGAAGGGTCAGAGGAAGAAACAGACTCCCCATTGAGCAGAGAGCCCAATGTGGGATTCTGTCCTGGGACTCTGGGATCATGACCTGAAGCCACGGTAGACACTTAACTGACTGAGCCACCCAGGCCACCCCC